TATTTATTGAGAAAGCAGTGTATAGTACAAAAATTTGGTCTAAGTCATAGCATATGAAAGATTAAGAGGATGTTATACAGCAAAAAAAGATTCTTCCTAGTAAATTCTCTTTAAACTATATATGTTTAACGTTAAGAAGCATCATTGCAAGATTGGAGAAGTGATCCTGCAATCATTTGTTTTAATTTTGATATTTTGAGGGGGGGAAATTTAAGCATTAAAAACTTCATAGATTATTATAGGTTTATCAAACTCACTTTTGACTTTACTTTAAATTTTAAAATAACTATAGAAGTAAAACAGAATTCGCCCTGAAAATGTTCTCCCATGGTATAGCAACCTCTTAATGCCTATTAGACTATCGTTTATCATTTGCTATTACAGTTTTTTAACTATAATATTACTTTTTGACTAGTTTTGGTATAACTCCAACAACAGAGAAGATGTATCACCAAGGTGTTATGCGAACAAAAGTTGATGACTGCCAATTTGTATGCATTGCACAAAATGATTATTATCGCATCCTTCACCAAGGGGAGGAAAACACAAGAAAACATGAAGAAGATGGAGAAGTTGTTCTAGTCACTGAACATCGTGTTTTGGATGGCGGAAGCAGGAGAGGCCACATTGTTATTAGGGTAAGAAAAGAAATATTGTTACTGTGGTTTTAATTTCTTGATTGCAATTTTGATATTAAAATTTTATTTTTACTTAAAACTTTAAGATGAATTTTAAGTATTTTTAATTTGTTTTAGTAATAGTCCCTAAATTGTTCTTATATTTGCAACCCATAATTTTGTAGATAAAGCTGTGTTTGATTTGAATGTAAACTGTAAAGTTGAGCATTTTGGTATTAACATGCATATTTTTAAAATTCTTATATTGTATAGCTATTATGTAATGTCTTGAATTTTAATGCATTATTATTTGAATTTTTATTAATTGAGAGGTCATTTATGACTGTTTTGTATTATGTTCCATTATATTTCTTATAAAAAGTATAATTTTAGTTTACTGATTATGCTTTTAAATTTATTTTTGATATCAGTTGATAAAATCAGTACCCCCAGAGGTATTGATTTGTTATGTAAACATGGAGGACTTTGCGACTCAACAGATCTAACATGCATCAGTCACCATTTACTACAAAGGGAATCTTCGACTGGCCTGAAACCGAATTCACGAACTTTTGGTCATTGGCCCAGAGCCCTACCAACCAGGCTATCCCGGCCCATTCTTAGACACATTTTATCCGTCGTTGAACAGCCGACCCAACTTTGGGTTTACGACTACAAATGTTCAACTCCGTAGCTTTGTAATTTGAACCAATCTGGAAGACAAAGAAACTCCTGGATCAGTACCCCCAGGGGTAATGATTTGTTATGGGAACATGGAGGACTTTGCGACTCGACAGATTTAACGTGCATTTACTACAAGGGGAGTCTCCAGCTGGCAGAGATCAAACCTACGAACTCTTGGACATGGGCCCAGTGCTCTACCAACCAGGCTATCCTGGCCTCTTAGACACATTGTTAAAATTTTATGTATCTGAAGGAGAATTATTTAATGTCTAAATTTATTTACTTTTTTTTATAGGGAACAATAGAACGGTTAATGGCCCATTTAGTTGAGGATAATGCCTTAGATCCAAGTTATGTGGAAGATTTTCTACTTACATATCGTACATTCATCGAAAATCCTCTTAGCATCACTGAAAATCTTTTGAGATGGTTTGCAGATCCTCATTTAAGGGATAAGGTATTTTTTCTGCTTTTATTAAAAATTTTTGATAAAGTTTTCTTCTTCAGTTTTATAATGGAAATGTCAATATCTTAGCTATTGAAGTTATAATTTTTTTTTAAATATGTAATAAATATTAAATGTTACATTATTGTATCAATATTTTTTAATATACATATATGAGAAACATAAATTTATTTCAAATAATAATAGTTTATGAATATATGTAAGAGTTTCAAATTTATCTTAGTCTTTGATATTAGTTCTGCTTTATTTCTTTGCTTTCTAAGTATTATTTATTTGCAAGAATACCTATTATTTACTGTCTAGTTTTTTTTCTTTCTTTTTATTTAAGAAAAAAAACGTGGAAATAAAAGTCATTGAAGCAGAATAGTTTTGAATTTGTTTAACTTAATTTATTCTACTTTTAATTTCTACAGGTAACTCGAGTAGTTCTGCTTTGGGTAAATAACCATTTCACAGATTTTGAAACAGATCCTGAAATGATGGAATTTCTTGAAATGTTTGAATCTGGTTTGGAAAAAGAAGTAAGTACTATTCATACGTTAGATCTTTTTTTTTTATTTTTATTTCTTTTGAATAAATTATAATCAGTTTACTGATGTCTGTTTATAAATAAATTATTTCTATTGGCTGAACGGAATTCAGATGCATAAAAATTGAGCTTTGAAAAAGATCTTTAAAATATCTATTCCAAAAGATATTATTGATTAATATTATAGAAACTTGTAAAACTGACTTAAGACACTACAAAATAAGCAGAGGATGTTAATTAAAAAGTTTGTTTATTTTTTCAATTTTTTTTTATTAAAATAATCAAAATTTAAGTTAAATATTTTATAAATTAGATTTTAATAGGTAAGTAAGCATTAAGTAGTAAATTCTTAAATTATTTCTGCTTTACAAAATATATGAGTTATGGAATTGATCTTAGTATATGCTATTATAATGACATGATTTATTATAAGGACATTTTTGCTGTCTTGACTAAATCATAAAAAATATGTCATATTGTATTCACTATACCAAAATCCGAAAACTTTAGTGATTGGCAGATTTGTGATTTTACTGTGGTGCAGATGATGCATAATAATTTTTTACCGCTTGATTTATAGTATGTTTCACATTTTTATCTTCAGAAGCAGGAAATCAATAGTCTCAAGTTTCATTAAAATTAAAATCTCAAATTATTTATCACTTTATTTATTAGATTAATTAATTATTTCAAATAATTGTTTATTTCGCTTTTTTAAACGGTTATTTTTTATAATTTCAGAAAATGCAAAGTCAGTTGAGACTGTTAAATATTGCTTGTGCTACTAAAGCACGGAATAGGACAGTTACTTTGGCTAGGTCTACAAGAGATGAAGTCTTACATTTTCATATCCTTGGTGGTTATGAAAGGGGTTTTGGAGTTTTTGTTTCTAAAGTTGACAAAGGATCCAAGGCTGAAGAAGTTGGACTCAAAAGAGGGGACCAAGTAGGTTTTCTTATAGTTTTTATTGCAATTGCTCATAGCAAAAATATTGTATATTTTTAATTTCATTAATTAATAATTTGTTTTAGTTAAATTTAATTAGGGTTCTTTTTTGTCTATATAATTTTCTGAGCTCTTTACTTGATTGTAAATAAAATTATTATTCATCAATTTCATTTATTTACTTTCCCACAAGTGGTTTTTCTCTAAAATATATGTTCCAGATCTCCACCAAAGGTGGCCTTTATTTAATTTGTTGCAACACTTTTCTTTTATTTTTCATCACACATTTGTTTATTTTTTAATAAAACTTTTTGATTCTATTACTTTTCTTTATATTACTGCTAGTGTAATATTTTTTTTGTAGTAGTACAGATAGCTATGTGCATACTATACAGCATAGCTGCAACTGACTTTGGTATCATTAATTTATGCATTCATTTCAAAATTATAAACATTTCCCTAAGAAAAAAATGAAAATTTTCATTTCAAAGTTTCTCACAGTTTTTGTCATAAAAATATTTTAATCAATTTCTATATGCA